ACTAGGTTCAACCACCAAAACGACACTACTCATGTGTAGCTGAGTACAGTCAGCAGTTCTGTTCTCAGTGCTGTCATTGTTCTAAACTAGACCCTAAACAGTGTAGTAGTTTCCATTTTCCGCTTTCTCCCCCTCCAGACTCCTACCTAACCCCTCGATTTCCACCCCCCTCATATACAACCCTATGAAACCCCCTTCTGGGGTAGGATGCGGCTTGAATGGGGGGCTGGCTTTCTCCCAACCTTCTTTGTGCGTGTTTTGTTTGGCTCATCCCCTAGCCCTGGAACAGGATCTGAGACATGTTGGATATAAAATATAAATTCATGTGGCTTTCACGACAACCAGCTCCAAAATCAATAAGACCTTCTCATGCACATGTTTCATCTGGTTTTGCAGCGGTTGATATGGGGTTTTTGCCGTGCGGGTCACTGTTTGCAATTCTCTGGCTGTTTGCCTTGATTGAAGCTGCCAACAGGCTATAGTTAATCCATATTTATCCGGATTTAGCTTTGTGCGTCTTTTCCAACTATTAGGTCTCTTGGGGGTATGCCGGAAATCATGGAGTGTTGCGAGGTCTCTCTCAAGTCGCAAGGAAGCAGTCCTATAGCAATTCTTTCAAATCCTGACTTCTATCCATTTCAATCTTAGGACTTTCCCGGTGTGATCCGGGGCATCAACGTCGGGACATGCACCACGAAGTGCATGAAAGCTTTGAAGCGCAGAGGTCCTTCGCATGGCTGGAGCACGCGCGGCCAGATTCAGAGTTGCTCCGGGCAATGGCTGGCGCTGCGCTGAGGCCGGGTGTTGCTGCATCTTTGCAGAGCATTCTTGAAAAAAGCCGTCTTCAGAAAAGTGAGGATTTTGCTTGCAGTTACAACCCAGAGGTGCGGTTCATGCCATGATGTGATTGCCAAGGTTCATACGACCAGCACAGGGTTCGTGGGTCATGGATCTTGGATGTATGTCTGGGCATGCCAGTGTCAGCACTAGGCGGCTCGGCGAGTTTAGTACGCAGCAGCTGGCAAACATGTGGGGTTCTCAGTGCTGTTGGCGTGACGGCAATCTGCCCATGAGTACGCCTTGAGAGCGAGGAATCACAGACAAACGTCCCATCAAAGGACAGCAGTATGTCCAGCGCATTCTCGCACTTTCTTTTTGCGTCCCATGTTGGAATGGTGGAATGTTTTGGGGAGAGGGTGTAGAGATTCTGTGCCCCTCTGAGGCTTTGGGGCTTTGACCATGCGAACTACAAAGACAGTAGCTTCTTCTCAACCATGGCCCGGCACCTACTTGTCAGGATTGAAGTTCAGCTAACACAAACAGATGTTGGGAATTTGTGGACATAAGGTTTCGTGGTGCTGCTCGAGACCAATGACTTTTTGGCAGAAGGCTTTCCCCGCTCACTTGCCCTGCACTTCCTCTGGTGTATTTCTGGATTCATTGACCTTGGTGTGGGCCATAAGCCCTACATAATCATATATAACCGATTTATAGGATCCCTGAATCTGTCCTGAGGCTTCTGTCTGCGCCACCTAATGTCCTCAGCCTGTTTAGCTGCCAGGCCGCAGGAGAAGAACTCGTCTCAGTCATGAGCCAAGAGGGGTCATGCAGGCATTTTGCGTTGTTCAGGGTTTGGGGTTTAGGGACCCTACCTACTAGCAAGCTGCCAAGTAGGCATAAGCTTGTCTGCAGCTGGAAGCTCATCAAAGTACTTAAGCGAATCGTTGTTAAGGTCATGACTGCTCTGCGGCCGTATGCGTCTGGGTCAACGGCTTGGAAGGATCTGGAGGCGTGCATGCCGACCCAGAGTGGGTGGTGGAAGCGTCGTTGCCGTGAGGTACTTGTAAGTCTGTTACTGCTAAAGGCGTACCCTTTCTCTTGGCTATGTATATCGACTGCCTTGACTGTGCCTTGAAATAGTTCAAGTGCAACATGTTGCAGCTTTTGACAGAACTTCTTCATCAACGAAACACTGCGGCCTCTGGCAGACTTCCTCCGTACGTCCAACAGCTCGGATGGCTATGTACAGGCTGGGTGCAGAAAAAACTCTGCCTGATGTTTTGCTTAGCGACATGGTGCCGTCACTTCAGAGCCACTTCAAGCCATAGTTGACATTGGGTATTTAGAAGCTGCAAGGGCTTGCGGCAGCTTCGGACCTACCATGCCTGGTGCTTAACGGTATTTCGTGAAATAAACCATCAACCTTGCGTTGGAACATTCGAGTGTGTCCACTGAGGCAGGAGCCCTCTACACATCGTGGCTATTCGAGCACATTGGTGCCCTCTTGGTTACTTTCATTGGCCGGAGTACTTGTTTGGCCCTCGTTGTCCTGCAAGAGTGGGCACCGCTAGATCCAGGAGAGGTATCTGGATCATGCTACCCTCGGCCACGGCACTTGAGGCAGTAGCTTTGTGCACGCCAAATGCTCGATGCTAGCAATAGGCTTTGAGTCCAGAGCAGGTCAAGAAGAAGACCCAACAAGATTTCCATACTATTCATACCCTGCAGCCAAGCAGCAGCAGGTTGCGTGTGGCAGCCATAGTTCGAACATTCGCAAGATCATTAGACTAAATAGAAACTGAAGAGGCCAGTTGCCCAAAAGCCATGGTTTGGCAGCTGCTGCCGCTACATGCGCCAGACGAGGAGATAGTGCCGCTGCCCTCTGATGGAGATGCCACGCTCGGGCAGCTGCGGTGAAATATATAAGTCATGTTGTCGGCCATGTGTGTGGCTGTATAAATGCTCGAGAGTGCAGGCGACGACCGAATAATTTCCTGGTTTGCCCACACCTTGCAGCAACTTGGCGGGTCAAGTTGTTCGACAAGGGGGTTCATTGGCGTTGCCCTGCCATTGATCAAGGTGAGCGGGACACATTGCATTCTGCACTGCAATGCTGGCTGCCCTCCTGAGTTCGAGGCACCAATTCATGCAGTGACGCGTAATACTTGCGCTGACAAACATGAACTCGTAAGAGTGGTGCTTGTGAAGCGTAGGACTGCAGCACCAACGGGAGCTTTGTGAACGACAAAAAGCTGCAGAAAGGGCAAAGGTGTCAGTTGGCAGACGGAGACATCATTTCGCTCACGAAGCCCTTGGATGCAGCCGCCAGGACTTGCAAAAACTACATGTCTTCTAATCAGGTCCTAAATCTGTTCTTGTACAACACGAGGGCAGCAGAGGTTTCGCATGAATTCTGTGCCCTCTCATCTCTGAGAGTTTGCTGATCTTGCAGAGATGTTGTGGATGTCCTTGAGCTACAAGTAGCTGAGGTTGACCCCAAAGACGGGGCGGAGGCTGGCCCTCGCATCCAGTACAAGATTCTGGGTTGCTATCAAGCAACTCAAATTCAGTTACTATAATCAGGAAACCCTATTATTTGCCATATACCCAAATTATGGTAACTTAATCTAAATTCCTGAACAGCAACCCAGGATTGTCCTCCATGAAGAGCCCAAGGAGGACGACCCAGGTTGCTCGCGGAAAGCTTGCCCATGAAGAGGATGTTTTTTTTGTTTTTTGGATTTGTTATTGCTATCATTGCTATCACTATTCTTGTTACTGTTAATAGCTCTAGTATTCTGATAGTATTCTGATTATTATTATTATTTTCATTATTATCATATTACTTTTATGACTAATGTTCACTAACATCATGCCAGGTGACATTCCTCCCACAGCGCCTGAGCCGAAGCGAACGGCGGAGGTAGCAGTGCCGCAGGGGGAAAACTGCTTCGCGCAGGATCTTTTGGTTCAGGACCCTTGCTAACTTTGCTGGTGCTTAGTAGGGATTAAGGGACTATATTCTATTATATAAAAATATTCTATAGGGATTATATAGGGGATGTTGGGGTTACACTCCTATAAGCCCCGCTGAACACCAGTAAGTAACAGGGAGCCCATGGACACCCTCAACTGCAGCTCACCCGATCTCTGCGCAGGAGCAGCAGAGCAAAGCAAAGCTCACAGCAGACTTACTGGTTTCCCAGCGAAAGCTTGATGAGGAGCGCCAGAGTGTGACTTGGCTGCCCCTGCAAGAGAATTGGGCTGTGGCCCGCGCACGGCGTCTTTCTTTCTCGCCGACTATGAGTAAGGTAGAGAACCTTAGCCGAGAGCTGCGCAAAGTCCGCCAGCAGGCCTCGCGGCCTGCATTTGTGATGCACTATGTTTCTGTGCAGTGGACTCTGCATTTGCAGGCATCTATTCCTTCAAGCCACACAAAGCTCTGCCAGGCTGAGGAGGAGCGAGTTCGAAGACAGGAGCCGTAGCCCACAGCCTGGAGAGAGACGAAAAGTGTTGAGGGGTACTGAGGGAGCAGCCGTGCAAAAGCCCGGAAGCCTTGTTACGTTACTACAGTATACTTACTGCGCAAATTAAAAACAAACTCACCCAACCTCATCTCAAGTTCACAAAGAGAATCTTCCCAAATTGGCTGAATTTGAGGTTCTAAAGTTATGGTGTAATGGCCACTACTTTAGGTCATGCAAGATGGTGTCCACCAAGAGTAGTTAGACGCGAGGAGGCCGAGGAAGCCAAGGCGAAGCTCGGCGGTGAGGTAGAAGGGCTCCGTGCTGAGGCCTCATGGGGCTGGGAGGGTTTATTATAGTATATTATAATAGTATATTAGGGGTTATATAGAGGTTATACAGGGATAATGGAAAAGAAGCTTGAAACTTCTACAGTGGGTTATATTTAGGATTTTCAGTTTGGGGTTTAGGGTTTAGGGTTTGGGGGTTGTAGGATGGTCAAGGGTGAGCAGTCTCCTGATTATTGTAGAAGTTCCTTGGTATCATGACTTTGTTTTTTAATCTTCATCACTTGTTGCTTTTCATTGTCACTATGGTTCCCAGAATCCAATTTCTATAGTTGCTTTCGTGATAAGGTTTTGTGATGCGGATCAGATTATTAATCGCAGGGTAAGGGGTACTTGCCTGATGTGTGTTGAAGCGTTATTTTGGTTCATACAATTGCAAACCGACCGGTGCCCAAGCTGGAGGATTGCCTCGCGCAATCCCTTCATAATGGATACCCGCATGAGCTCCACCCCTTAAAACCCGCAAGCGCCAGAGGGGAAGTGATCGGCTTCCACAGCGGATGAACATATACCATAATACCCTAATATACCAAAATATAGGAGTTTCCATTTTCTTTTCCATTATCCCTATCTGTAACCCCAATATACTATGGTCGTGGTGTGAGCACATGCGGCAGGAAGTCGGGACAGGCTGCAGTCCGAAATAGGGTTTAGGGTTTAGGTGCAAGTGCAAGCGCTAAAAACTGCTGTGGGGACCAGCTCCAGGACCTGTGGAAACCTGCGAGCTGGCCGGCAATCAACCCAGACCCTTTTTGGTGGGGGATTATAGGGATAATGGAAAAGAAAATGGAAACTATATAGGGATTATAGGGGTTGTACTGGGGTTGTTTTATAAGAAACCTAGTGAACAATCCGATGGAAACTTGGGTCCTTAGGCCTGAACCCCCCAGGCCTCCGACCTCGGCGGATTTGGCACGGTTGATATTTGAGGGGTGATGAAGAAGTTATGGTGAGCTTCAATTGAGACGTTGTAAGGGTCACGTTAGAAGAAGATACGAAAGTACTTTCTTTCTGTTCCTCATGTGAGCTTCACTCAGCCACAGCAGAACCCTGCCAGGATAGTAGATTTTCTTCGTAAACCATTACCTGGAAGGTGGTAGGGTCGGTGCTTCTCCAACCCTACTGCTACTAAAGTGAGCCTCCCAGTATAGTCCCGCATTGTAGTCTCTGTATTCACTCCCCCGTAAGCAGCGCTAGGTAGACCATGTAAACCCCTGTAGGATTCCAGTTTCCATTTCTTTTCCAGTTGCTTTTCCATTTGACTCTCCATGGGGGGGGGGTCCCAGAAGCTTGTGCAGGCTCGTCAGCTGCACGAGCTTACCATCGCACACGAGGAGCTTCGATCGCGCCACGCGGCCTCCGAGAAGGAGAGTTAGTTATGGAACGGTTTGGGCATGGAGGGCTTAGAGTGTGGGGATTTAGGGGTTTGGGGTTTAAGGTTTAGTGGTTATCGTGTCAAAGTCAAAGGTAGTATTTGTTGCAGGCAGCCAGAATTTTGGATTGTTTCTGTCTTGGGACTCGCGAAAAGACGAATTCTTTTTGATTTGTTTTGAGAAGCACTCCCATTTCTCAACACCAGGGGTCTCTTTGGGGACCTGAAAACTTCCTGGACAAGTGTGCATCAAGTAAGACCGAGACTTCCGGTTCCGAGAGATTGTGGACAGTAATATAACTTCATCCCCTCATTACCAACGCTCCGCCGGAGCGTAAACGCGTGCCGAATCATCGGCACGCAGCGCTGCATGACGGAAACCCCGGTAAGACGCAGTATGTCAGCAAGCGCGCAGCTGTGGGGAGTCCCGAGAAAGCACGTAAAACAGATTTTTGTAGCGTGCCGTTGCCAAAACAGTGCATCTTCCAGAGGATTCCCTCAGGCAAGAAATGTAAATGTGCGCACCAGCAGATGGAGGTCGGTTAATTCTTCTCACTGAAGCAGACAGTCTTTGAAACCTTGGATTAATGGGGTGATAAACAATTCGTTCAGAACTCCTCACGCCCTTGGACTAATGGGGTCAACCTTGGACAATCAGAATCTCCAATATTAACGCGAGCATGCTGCTGCCATGGATACAGTAGGAATCGAATGCACGCGAACATGAACACTGTGATGGTCTGGTTATAGGAGCTCTGGATAGCTCTGGTATTCAGATGCAGCCGAACATGAACAATGTCGTGGTCTGGGCATGGATGCTGTGTCAAGCGGATGCGCCTTGACCTCTCTCGTTGCTCCACTTCCCCGCGTCAAAAACGCGATGCGTTGTATACACAGTATTTTTGGCCCTCAACACTTCGACGGTGGCATGAGCCTGGGAATAAGGCTTAACGTTACGCTGCCACAAGTGTCGAGGTCTCTCTGCATCTCAGGGTGGGATTATACACGTTGTACATTGATAACTGGCTGCGCCGAAACATAAACACGCAAGACGTGCGCATTTGGCCGACCTTTTCGGATGTGGCATGCGTGGCACGAACATCCATCAATGGCCCATGGCCAGAAAACCCATGCGAGAGTCCACAAGCTTGATTCGCCGATGTGCAAGTTGAGTTTTTCCATGTGCGTGGCCTTGCTGCCCTCCAGGAGTTGGCTGAGCGAAGCCAGCGATGCGATGAGCTGGAGGCACTCCAGCATAGCATGAGTTTGGTACAGTCGCAGTTGTATGAAAACTAGACTCAGCTTGACACGCTTAGCAAGTAAGACTGTAAGTCGCAGAGTGGTTTCAGCACCCAAATCAGACAAAGCAGCTTGAAACAGTGCTGGCAGTGGCAGTGGCAGGGCGGTGGGTGGGTAGGATGAGGAAGAGAAGGTGCTGCCATTGCCATCGTCGTCAACGTCACGGACTTTGCTGCCTCTGTTGTCGTTGGTTGATGTTATCATGATCCTTGTCGTCATAGTTGTCGGCGTGATCGTCACTGTACTCGTTGTCCAAGAATTTACAGATAGAGAGGAGTGGCAGACATGATATGAACTACTGTGGCTGTTCGTAGGCACAAAATTTCCGCATTGACGCATTACGCCCTCGGTGAATGATGTGAGATTCAGGGCTTCGGGTCTGCAGACATGTGCCACTGCTAGTGCTCAGCAGGCCAGAAGTAGAGTTTGCCAGTGAGGCCCGGCAGCAGCAGCTGCGTGAAGACCTGGCTTTGGCTGGAGAGGCGCAGCTTGTTCAGCTAGACTTGCAGATGTGCGACGATGGCCGAAGCATCCATGCCAGGCACGGCAGAAGTCATCGCAGCACCTGGCTGAGTTACAGATCCGAGCTCGCCAGGCGCAGGACGAACAGCACTTGACACTTGTACGTTTGAAGGCTCAAAAAGGCTTCTGCATTTCAACAAGACAGGGCTGCTCAAAGCAGGATGGCAATAAGTCCTGCAGGAGCGGGCCGAGCGACTGAGGCAGCAACAAAGCGAGGCCCAGCGTGAAGCCGAGCGCACCGCCGAGGATTGCTGAACAAACAGCTGTGAGCTGCACAGTTCTGTTGACGGCAGGATATTTGCCCACCTCCCTTTGTTGGGTTAGTCATCACGGTTCGGATGGGTTGTTGCGTAATTCTACGACTGCTCTACGTTGCAGGAGAGCCAGCGATTACAGGACGAGCTGCAGGCGCGAAGCAGTCATGCCGCGCCTTCGAAAACAAATGCATCTTGATTGGCTAGGAGCTTGCAGCCGGCCGTGAGAAGCTGGAAGCGGAAGTGGCGGCAAGCAAGTCCAATGTCACGAAGGCCCCGCATCGAAGGATGCAGAGAATCCCCAAAATGCTAGGTACTGCTCCCTTCAATCCCCACACCCTGATCTCGGCTCCGTGAAATCTCACAGGCAGAGGCCGATGAGCGAAGTGCACGGAGCAAGCTGGATGTGGCCACGGCCAAACGAGCTGAGCTCGAATGCCAAGCTGCGGCTGCACAGTCGGATGCCGACTCTGCCAGGAGCCTCGGCACTTAAAAGCCCAAGCTTCCCCTCCCCTCGTGTTGAGCGCAGCTTACACAGGATCTCATTGAAAGCTGCGGAGCAGCGCGCAGCGAAAGCGGCTGCCTTGCTGCAACACCTTGGTGAATCCGGCAAGGGCCTCTTCAGCGAGCTCAGTCGCAGGCTGGCATGCGCCTTTTCATTTGTTTGAGAACCAACCTATCAACTTTTAGTGGTTTGCATTTTGGGTGGGCATCCCTGCCCAGAGGCTGGAGCTCTGGGACAAAGTCCTGCGGGAAGGTCTCCCGCGAGCTGCCAAGCTATTGGAGGAGGCATTGGCAGGGGACGTGGCGCCCACTTTTGCCCAGGCCACCTGTCGTGAGGCGACGGGGACAGCCAAGTGCATGAAATCCAAATTCAGCCAAGACATGACATTAAACCCCTTTATGCCAATCCCTAATTAGTAGTTTCCATTTTCTTTTCCATCACCCCAATGTATCCCCTAATATAACCCCATATATCATAGTCGTTTCCATTTTGTTTTCCACTATCCATATAAAATCCCTAGATAACTCCAATACAATCAGCTGTGGGTTGTATGTCTGTTTGGTTGGGATTGGTCCTTGATTGGTCCTTTAATTGGTCCCTGATTGGTCCTTGATTGGTCCTTGATTGGTCCTTGATTGGTCTTTGAATTGGCCTGATCCAGGGGCTCAAAATTTCAGGGTAGGTGCTCCACAGAAATATAGAACTGGAAATTTAGAGGCTTGCGCTTTAAAGGGCAAGCAGCGGCAGGCACAATAGTTTTGGGAGTGGGTTCTTAGCGGATGGCAGACAAATACTGAGTATTGAAGTCGACCTTAAATCCTGCATTTCCTGGCCCCCATTGTGATTCTGGAGATGAAGCAATAGCATAGCAGCAATTGTAGTGATAGTACCAACCCATGCGGTCCATGCGCTCGCTCCGAACAGCTCCCCCTTAAGTAGATGGAATATGGGATATATGGGGACCTTATTACTATTACTCAAAAAACCATATTCTATCTACCTAAGGGGGACTATGGATGGCAGACTTTCTTTTTGCATGCCGCGTCGAAGGGGCATCAGGTAACTCATATCGGAACACCAGCGCTTCTCGGCCAGCTCAAAAGTAGACACAAAATCTGAGTTTGACACTTCGTTGAGAGATTCAAACTCTCAAATGCCTCCCCAAGCCACGTCAGAAGCCATTTGAGTTCTACCCTTGGCATACGAGTCATATTCGCAAGATGATTATTAGTATTACGCTATCGAGTTTGTACTACACCCACGCTCTGGGAAATAGCAGCTCGCTGCCGACATGGCGGACCCTGGAAGCACTGCGGATGAGACCAGGCATCACCCTTGAAAATTTGAGTCTCACGTTTTTTCCGAGACTCACACTCTCATTGCCTCAAACCAGGTCTAAATACGATGTAGCTATAGGGTCATAGATGATAGCCCCTGATGGCCATTACGGGTTGAGGCAATATGCTCCAAAACGGATTCCTAGATTCACTTCTCTTTATTCCCCTTCTTATCAGCGCCATCGCTGGCTCGCTTCTTCTCCTTCTTGTCTTTCTTGTCTTTCTTGTCCTTCTTGTCCTTCTTGTCCTTGTCCTCACTCTCCCTCTTCGGCACATCTTCGGACTGCGATGCCTTGGGCACCTTAGCAGCCTGCTCATTCACTCTGGCCATGAGGGCATCCGGAATGCTGTCGGAAACCCCCCAATACTGCGCTGACTTCCTCATCTCCTTGAGGCTCCCATGGAAGTCAAAGTCATCCGGCGAGCAAACGAGCTGGCATAGGGATGTCTGGATCACACACTTGGCCACTTTCTTGTTGGCCTCCTGTCGGGATAAGCGGGGGAGCGGACCACCACCATTGGACCATCACAGAATCACGAAATCCTTACCTAAACCCTTCCCATCGGCCCCAATTGTCCTGCTACATCCACAACCTAAAAAAAACACTGTTAAATTTCCAACCAACATAGACTATGTTACATAGTAGACTTAAAGTAGGGAGTCTTTGAAACACATTCTTGCCGCTAATAAAAAACTCTCCTTCGACACATCTAGTCTAGACTAGAATTTCCGAAGCCTAGGTTCTCCCAACAAATGACGTTGATTTAACTAAGCATTCATTCAAATCAGGGGTTAGTGTGTCTAGGCTCAAGTCCTCAAACTCTTAGCCTTAGGTTTACTCAGATGTACATTACATGCGCCTTACAGGCCTTGCATCAAACACAGCGCCAACACCCTAGGGCGCAATAAACTATTGAATACTGTTGCTCCTCAATGCTGGCCGCAAGCTTCTTGAAGCTGTCAAAGAAGGGCGCCCACTCTTCCTGGCACAAGTTTCAGCGATTAGCTGCTTTGGGAACTATGGTTCAATTAGGACAAATACAACAACATGCAGCCCGCACTCATGTCGCCTTGCCGAATTTTGCCCGGCCAAGGCCCTGCAAGGCATCGCATTCTTTCGCCAAAGCATGCATCTTCGAATGGAATTGCTGCTTCTCAAGAGTCTCCGACGCGAACTCCAGGAATGCTTGGATCTCCACACCTTTCCACGTCGGCGTCAGCTCCAAAATGGACCTGATCTCGAAAAGAAGCATGTCTCCACGTAGGCGGGCTTAGACTTAGAGCTGAGCTAAGTTATTAGATTCAGCATGGGGTTGTTAGCCCAATTCCGACCAAGCACTCGAATGGCCGGGATGACTTCAATAAATCTTCGATCTCCATCTCTTCAGTGGCTACCAGCTCCTCCAAGTTGGACCCGAACTCCTGGAGGCCTTGCTCCACTACTGCCTTGAAGCCGCTGGTCCAGAGAACCTCGTCATTCAACGAAGCCGCAGCCAAAGCAGCTCCATGCTGCGCCTGCACGTCTTCAGCCTTCAGCCTCATTGGCTTCTCGAACTCAATCACGGTCTGCTGCAGCTGCTGCACCACCCCCTGTACCTGTTGCAGACCATTGATCAAGCTCTTGGCGTCTGGGCTGTACTTTGCAAAGGAAGGGAAGGCTTCCGTCACCCGCCTGGAAAAGCCATCTATGGTCAGAGGCATTGCGCGCACGGAGCCCTTGATCGCACCCAGCATTGCTGCGCTCATGCGCGCCGAAAGGTTGCCGAGGCTTGTCATAAGCTGCGAGAACGACTCAGCCTCAGCTTCCACTGTGGACTTGCCCCTCAACTTCTCGCAAGCCGTGATGCAATCGGAGACCTGGCGTAGGACCTGGTCCAACTTGTAGTCTCCCGGCATGCGCGGCAAAGCCGTCAACAATGTCAACGCCTCCAGGACAGCCTTGGCAACAGCCTTGTCGTTCGCATTGCCAAGCAGCACCTGCCGTTGCAAATGTCCTGATGGGCAAGGCTGCGGCAAGATTGTGTGTTAACAAGTGTCCTTAAATACCGCGCTGCTGGAAGAAGCCCTGTCCTGCTTGCAGCACCGGTAGGGATTCCTCCTCAGGGAGAGGCTTGCATTCCAAGCCATTCTCCGCAAATTGCTCATTGCACCATGTTGCCAACGATGCCACGCTGCCCTGGGAGCCCAAGAGGGAGGACGCCAAGGCCAACGCCACAGATGCCACCTGAGGGATGATGAAAACCCCCCACCCATTGAAATGACCCTTAATCCTGCTATCGTTTG